AGCACGACAGGCGGAGCCGGGTACTTACTGCACTGCTATTTTTGTGCTTACTGCAGGTGTAAAATTAACTCGGTCGTCGCGGTACCACCCCTGCATTTTTCACACAGTGAAACAGTATTATTTACCAAATAATGTTTTGGATGCAACCCACCGTCCATGTTCACGTGGTACCATACATACACCTGTCAACATTCTTTTTACGTGGTACAAATACAAGCAGTGAATTACGTTCAATAGACGGTATCGTTAGTGTGATATATAAGGGGGAATCGTGACTGGCCGGTGTCCAATTTTCCCTCATAAATAATTTCATGTTGCACTTCACCTGAAATTCATTTCGCTTAAAGAAGTGACCTGGATGCGTTCTAAGCTTAATTTGTCCTTCTCCAGAGAGGAGGGGAAGACGGTGGTCTCGAACTCCAGGCAAGGCCGTGTGAAGGTGCTGAAAATTGGGTGGAAGCATCTGTGATTGAACTGTCCGAAAATTCATCCGAGAGTTGCTAAGGCTAAGTTTTCGCGAAATGCCTTTCCGTAACATTTGTCATAGGCTTCTAGGTCTCGAGGGAGTAAAATGCCCAAATACTTCTCTGTAAGCGACACTTCAGGTTCCTTACCGTTGAGTCTATGTTCATGCGATGCATCGCGTTTAACGTGTATCACCTTGCATTTCTCGGGATTAAGTGCCACCCAATCATTGACCGTTCGGTTTTGAGGTTGAGCTAAATCTTTCTGCGGAGAAACTCTATCTTCCTCACCTTTGATTTCTCCCCATAGTTTCACGTCACCGGCAAAAGGAGGGGTTTCGAAAGAAACCTGTTGAGGCAAGTCGCTTATGTATATTAGACAAAGAAGAGGCCGTAGCACTGAACCCCATAGAACACCACCAGAACATTCTCCTCCTTCGAGAAACTCGCCCGAACTCCAAATGATCGGCCTCGTGGATATGAAGACAACTGGTCAATGAGCGGCGGTCGTATTCTGATCAATTTTAATCCATCAATAGGGCAGTCGTAATTTGCGCAGTCAAGTGCCCTAGCAAAGTCCAACCACATGACATCAATTCGTCCTCGATGGTTAGCAATGCTATTCCACCTACCTACCGTAGTGAGCAGATTAGTAATCCAGCAGCACCCCTTTTGGGATTCCATGTTTTTGGGACACAAAGCAGTTGCCCTTTGTGGGACCATCCCTCCCTCCGTCTCAGATTAGCGATTTCACCACTTTGGAAGGTATAGACAAATGTGTCAGTGGTCTGTATTCCTTCGGACTGCTTCACTGACCTTCTTCAAAGATAAGCGGTGTGGGGCCCAACCTCCAAGAGTCGGGTAGTTTCCCCTGACTTGAAGAATTCTCAGGTAACCTGCTTAATGGTTCAGGCAAGATTGCTACTCCTTCCCGCAATACCGCCGCATGGATTTTATCCGGTCCCGGAGAGGTGTCTATTGTGAGCAGTAGCAGTTTGCTCTGTACTAGCTCAACGCTTAGTTCAATGACCGAAGTCCTACTTCTTTAGTAGGATATTCGTAAACTCCTGAGTAGGTGAACGATGACGAAAACATTTTCAGGTACTGGTCGACCAGGAGCTCAGCCGCTTCGTTGTCGCTACCGGTCAGCCTGTTGGTGCCTAGTAGTTGACAGACTCCTGCTTTAGCCTGCCGGAATGTAGCAGCGTGGCGGAACATGCTTTATGGCTTAGAACCAAAAGAGTTTTGAAGCTTGACTCGATGCCGCTGCCTATCGGCTCTCGATGCCTTCTTGCATATGTTTCTTCCTTGTTCGAATTGTCCTCGAGTGCATTCGGTGCCACTCCTTTTGTGTATGTCCCAGTGGTGTCCCCTTAACCTAGGCAGTTTGCGAGTGAAGTTCCCTATTACCCTAGACAACTTTAAGTACTTCCGTTTTGAGAGTGGAACAGACTGGCTGATTGCATGCATGATCTTTCCAAGTATGGATATTCTGTAGGTTTTCATATCCTGCCGTACGTGGCTAACTTTTCCATCTGTCTGTTTCAGTGCGATTTGAAAGGCAGGGGTGTTAATTTGTCAGAAGTCCCAACGACGCTCACTGGAAGATCTGGTAAGGTTGGTTTCGCAGACAAACTGGAAGCCGACAACAACGTGACCGCTCCTGTCCAAAGGAGGAAGGATGGCTAAGTTTTCAATGAAGAATTCTTCACTTATGAAGATGCAGTCCATGCCGGATGGGGTTCGAGTCGCCCTCGATCATGTTACCGTTCCCACATTTTCCGTAAACCCCAGTTCCCCAGTCAGACGAAAGAATCGGTTCCTGTGGAACTGTCACTCCTGCCAAACCTGTGATCTGCAAAGTTAACCTCCGGTAGGTTGAAGTAACCTAAAATTAGCGTGTGCTTAAGTTTAAAAGGGCAACTGGTTGCCTCTAGCATCCGGTTATCATGCCGTAAGTTAGCAGATGGCTTCCCATAAATGACTCCCATCAAGCACTTTATGGTCTTGGATGGCCTTAAAGTGCAACAGGTGGACTCCTTATGGCATTCCGGCCAGTGAATATGAATTTCGTTAGCTGAAAGAGGAGAGCCGGCGTAAAGTGCTACCCCAACCCCTCCTACCAGCCTTCCTATCGTTGTGAAACGGAATGGTACTAACGTCTCCCAGCCCCTGATTTGAAATGTCGGGGGAAACTCATGTCTCAGCAGCACCAATACGATGAGCACGCCCATCTTTAATTAGTTCCCACAGTTCGTCTAGTTTATTCCGTGAGCTTGTTGCATTTGTATAGGTGCAATTTTCGCTATCCTTTTGGGATGCACTCCCTGAACCCTCCTTATTCTCCAGTTGGCTGGCTGAATCGTCAGGCGTGGAGGCCAGTGATTTGCCTGAGTGCCGCCTACCAGTGCAGTGTTCCCCCTTTCCCTTCTTTTGCATCTAAGCAGTTACAACTAGCTCCAGTTGTTTCTGTTTTCGTTGCAACCTCTCCTCCTGCGACCTATCAGGATGCATGTGGACTTCAGATAGCAGGCGGTGGCCGCCCGCCCAGAATGCCTGCAGTGGGGATGCTGTCATTGGGAGGCCAGAAAGACTACTTTGACCAGCCTTTGTCTGGGGTCATCGTCGTTTTTGGGCATCCGTGAAACACTTTGGGTTATTACCCCCCGAGGTTCATAGTATTTTTAGAGAGCTTCCACTTGTGAGAATCGTGGTAAACATCCTCTGTGCCTGGGCCCCCTCAAGTGAGTTGTATTACCGGGTTCCTTCCTCTAAAGTAAACGTCATGATTGACGCCCAAGAGTTCCTCTGCAGCCATTTTTCTCAAAGCATGGGATACCTGGTGGTATCTCTGCTTCCCATTAGGCTTTTAGCACGTGAGAGCACGACAGCACATCCTCGACGTCATCCAGGCTGGAGAATGTAAACCTCAAGAGTCGAGGCTGGCCCACAATTTTTGAATCGAGGCCACGTGAGAGCAGTATTGCAGCCATTAGCCTAATGTGGTCTAGCCCGAGTTGTCTGCATACCCTCCAACACAGAACCCTATCAGTCCTTTCCTGAAGGCTGTATGGGAGATTAGGGCTATCCGTCGGGTAAATGATGATCAAAGAATCGTTCCTGACAGTGGTTTGTTTCGTACGCTTCCGACTCTTGTGCGTTTTCGTTGAGCCTTTGTCTTTTTTGTGACCCTGCACTTATTCGTGGGTAGCACACCTGCTTGTTTGACAAGCCTGTGCGTGAATCGTATGGTATCAGCTTCCCGATTTCCGGATTACCCCGCATGAGCTTGCCCCCGGCGCTTCCGGCCTCCCTAGATCCAACGGTCTTGGCTGGAGTTGAAATTCAGCCATTCTTGTCTCGCACATTCTCTATCTTCGGCATCTTCAATCGGCATGACCGTTTTGTTTATCGCCTCGTCTGCGGACGACGAAACTCTGGTGAAAGACTGTAAGACAGTTGATGTTATTGCACTGCTAAGGCGCACCAAGCCTTCCGTCAAACCGGTTCCTTGCTCCTGTTGAGTGACCTGGGCAATTTTTCTGCTAGTCGATTTTCGAGTTCCGATGCCCTCATGCTTGGGCACCGACTTCGAATTTTCCAGCTCCCCGTTTTTTCGGTTTACTATCAGCCTATTTTTTACTCCTTTTAATGTGCCGATGATGTTCTGGAGAACATCGTCAGTGCAGATCTGCACAAGCGGCATTGCCACATGCTACCAGGCTTGCTGAGTTTGGTCTGCTCAGCTTGCCTCAATTCTGTGTGAGCATCTTGGAACCACCCGTAGTAGATATCACACTGCGCACCCATCTGAGCAGGTTGATGACATCCTCCTGCACATTCGTATGGCTACCACTGTCGTACAAGGTATAACAAGGGGTAAAAACTCAACACAAAAACTGAGAAGACATGAAAAGTAGTGAAACCATTGGCGTTACCAGACAGAACCGAAAACGTAACAGAGGTAAAGCCTTGGTATCCTAGTACGAACATGAATGCACGCAAAGCAGAAGACCCACCGAACTCGAAGCTCCGAAGAATACTGTTACTGAAAACCAGAGCTTTCGTGAGTTTTCCACAACAAAAGTCAAAATCACGGTAAGTTTACACTTCTTTCAAAAGGCGCGGTAAGTGCTTGTCAAGAAGTTAATCTTCTGTGTTGAAATGCGATCAGCAAAATTGTTTACCGCGTTGGTTTGCTATGGAATTTCCTATCAACACCCTCAACCTGAAGCCGTTGAATCACTGTCACATGCAACTATAAACTACTTGGCCTGCAGCCTTCCTCATTGGAGGAAAAACAGCGTGTTAAGCTAAGTGTTCTAATTCTAACAGTTGCCAAGCTTCATTGAAACATTGAGCAACATCTAACGTACAATAATTTTTACAACATGCATAATTATACATTATGAATAGTGCGGTTCAATGTAATTAACTCAATTCTGTTAGGACTTTGATACCCATACTGTTTGCGCACTGAATTGAAACTGTCAGTTGCGAGTTTCGCTTTCGTGGTTCTTGTGTTTTTTGTACTAAATGGCGGGTGGCCCTGCACAAGTACTAGAGATTGAGCCAAAGAACGAACTGGTATTCGAAGGTATTTACTATTTTTACTCTTTTATGTTGCTTACTCTTCAAAGATGTTGGTTGCTTGTGTTTCAATCGATTTATTTGTTTTGCTCTAGGTCCGTTCGTCGATGTGATAACTTCACATATCAAGCTGACAAACCCTTTAGACCAAGCAGTTGGCTTCAAAATCAAAACAACGGTGCCGAAATGTTATTGCGTCAAGCCAAGCAATGGATATATCGAACCACATCAGGCCATAGACGTTGCAGGTGAGTTAAGAGATATGTGCATATACACTTCAGTTATGCTTCAGCCGTTCAGTTACAATGCTGCTGAAAAATTTAATCATAAGTTTATGATCCAGTCTATCATCGTTCCTGATGATCCTCGACCCAGCATGGAACAACTGGTATGTACTGTGATAAACTTTGATGTTTATTCCTCAAGTGGAAAGATGCTCCTCGTAGCAAACTCATGGATTCGCGGCTGTTCTGCCTCTTGCGCATGCCCGAAGAACTACTTGTTGAACCTAGCCGGGATTTGGTTTTCGAAGGTTGGTCTTCCAATGTTCTTTGCGTTATTTCATGCAGGTCCTTACGTAAAACCCCTCCCATCTGTTATAAAATTGACAAACCCTTCTTCACAATACATTTGCTTCAAGATTAGTGCATCTTCTCCAGATCATTTTTCTATTACCTCAGTACAGGTGTCTTACCTCCTGGTGGGCGTTCTGAGTTATCAGGTAAGTTCTATTTTTCTACTCGACTTTGTCTAGTCGTGTTCCAGCCGCATAATTTCGACTTTACGGCGAAGAATCGTGAAAGGATCTTAATTCAGTCTGTTGTAACTTCGGAAGGAGCAGATGCCAAAAAAGACCAAACAGTGGGTTTCTGTTCTGAAATATTTAATAAGAAAGGCTTTATTTAAGGAAGGAAAGGTGACAGATTATTACTTGAAATGCGTATTTAAAAACACAGGCGTCGTAAGTCATTTTGTCTTTCATATTCGTTCTTCAGGATGAAAAAATAGAAATGAGTACAGTGCAACCTACATCAGCTGTAAGTAGTCGATTAATCTTGAACGATACTTTTAGAAAAGTGTCACAAATACCAGTACATCAAAAGCGGATATTGAGAAGTTGATGGCTGAGATATCTGCACTTCGCAAGGAAAATGCTGCTCTCAAGGTATCTAGGTTCATTGTAACATTTTTTTCTCATATCTTGTCACAGACCTTTATTATTAGTCTCAGTAGGCAGTGCGAATAGTTTACAGGTGGCTACTAACATTCCTCTAGTTAATTTATTATATTGGTCACTGTTGCGTTTCCATCATTTGACTTCACGATAAACTGGTTGACTTTTAACCCGCGTATAAAATCTCTTGTGGCAAGCAAGAATCAGGCCTGCCTTGAACCGGTTTTAACTATTCGAGTCCGAAAGAATAAATTATACTGAGGATTCAGTTGCCGAGATCTTGTGAATTAAAGCCACCTAAAAAACCAGCTTATCACAACGAACGGAAACAAAGCAGGTATGTTAGGGTAGGTTTCAGCTACATTTTCGCCTTGCTATCTCCTGAAACAGATATTGGAAAAATTATGAATTTTTGGAGTTACCACTCATTTTCGTTGATATTGTAATACATAGTATCTTATTAAATTCATGTATCTACTATTCAATATCTTACTGTCTTTACTTTATACCAAATTAAAATTATGAGTAATAGCGTTATCGTTTGTGGTAACTTTGTAAGTGAACTAATTCCAAACCAGGAAACTAGGTCATGTATCTGCGGTGAAATCACAGAACTTTACCCGCCTTGAGAAGCTTCAAATGAACCTGGACGCACTAATAAGTAAACAGTTTGCCAAATTTTTATTGTGGAAATGAAAACGAATTACAGTATATATCGTTTTTAACATTGTTTAGCACGCACTGAAAAGTGGATTCCACTCACTTTGTTAGTTGCTTTATAACTTTATAGGTACTGTTTACTTAAAATAAATTGGTGAGGTTTAGGGAGTTAAAATAAAGATCCTGATTTGGCTTTAAAATACGCAACCTAAAGCATACTCTAGTTGAAATTTCTTGTCGGTAATTTTGTTTCTTGAAGCAAACACAAGCACAGAATTAGCAAATGTCGTAAGACGATAATGAGAGATAATACTCTTCGACTCAGTCGAAGGGTCAAGTGTACTCTGCTACAGTCCACTCTGTTCTACTCTAGCTGCGAAACATAGCCATTAAAGGTCGAAGACTTAAGAAGGCTTCAGATGTTTGAACACTGTCGCCATCGCAAAGTAGGCCCTTGTTTTATGTTGTCACAACCTGAGTAACGCAAAAGTCAGGTGTTAAATCTTAGGGAAGAGGGGAAAGTCAGTTGGTAAAGTTGTGAACCTTCATCGACTGAGGTGACTGAGATATGTGCTAAGTATGACTTATCTCACAGTGTTAACTGAAGTAAATTCAGGCTGAAAACATGCTCGCAGCAAGCCGACTAAGACATGACACCACTGCATGAAGTCCTTGACTGTTGGTCTGAGCCATGCAGGGAGATGCAGACTACCCAGTTGGCGTCCATGTAACAACAGAAACTAATGGCTGGGAACTAGGTGATATGATTCAGTGGCCCTGATGTACCCACAGATTATCTTCATCTAAAACGCTATACTGAACTCAGCACTTTCTCATCCCTTCTTCCTCTCTTTTACTACTTTCTATTTCTTTTGGCCGGTTATTCTTTCCTACTTCATCTACTTTTTTGCCTTGTTACTTTATGTGCTTATACGAGGTGTGGTAACTTTGACCGTTACGCAATAATGCCGGATCGTATGTTGATATCGATGATTATTATTAGTGATCACGAATTTTATACCAAAAGACAACATTATCTAACCCGGTGACAACCGACCTTAGCAGCTGAAATCGACTAGGCCATATCAGTCGCCGCTTTAAAAGCTTGGTGAAGGACTGTTGGTGCTTTCCAAACACATGCTTTGACAGTGATATCACATTAATTTGACCATACATTTTTGCCTTATTGTGTACAGGAAATTACAACTAAGAGATAAGAGTTTAGCTTCGAAGTGAAGATAGTAAGACTTAATTTGACGAGAAATAGGCTAAACAGCTGAATATTGTGACAGTGTTTACCAATTGGAAGTCTAATATCACTGGGAATGTTGTAATAACAGTGGTCTGTAATTGATCCCCTCAAAAGTGATACAGAATCAGTGTATTTCAAGAGATTCATCTGAATTACTGAGTAAACAACAACGTATTCTAGCAGTCTCAGAGCATGATGATGAGTAGAAGCAGTCTGAACACAGAATTTAGTCTTCGGTACATCTTAAAACGAACATATACCCATACATTGGAGCACCCGCTTTAAAATATTTTCAACTAGAATATGGCAGTTAAATCAGTCGACTGAGGTCTTATGATAGTACATATTGATTACATTAAACCTATTAAATGTGTACGTCACTTCACAATAAGTTTCTTGACTGAATTTGTACACTTATACAAAGCTTGTGAAGTTTTCATCTCATTCTCAGGGACGTAGCCTTTCCGTTCAATCTAAGTTCTTTGTAAACGCACTGTTTAAAGTGAAACTTCTGCTGTTAACTCTGGAGTAATTTTCCGCTCGTGATTGACTTGGAGCATGTAGACATTAAAATTCTGTCAGATGAAGGGTTTTCTAAGAACAGCGAACGTAAATAAGAATGTTGGGCATGTTAAACATTGGTGAGGCGTTAAATGATACTGAAGGACTGATTCACGGCGACGTATAGCTCAAAAATAAGGGTATGTTAAACACAACTTATTTGCAGAGTGCGATTAGTTTCCTACAGGAAGATGATTGATGAAGACTTACTTCAAATGCCAGAAGCTCATTAACATCTGTCAACCCATTGATGTGATATTGACGCTTGTTGACGGAAAAGCATACTCAGCAACAGTTCTGTCTGTACTAATTTAAAGTTGACATCGTTGCTAAAAGTCAGAGTTTATACGTCTCTTCAATCCACTACTCACAATGGAACTATAGAGTGGGTAACATGGATGTTAAACATAGTTTTGGAGAAGGCAACTTGATGAGTGAAGGTGTAAGCTTACAATGAATGCATTAATTCGGATATTTGATATGCATGCTCAGTTATCACCATCCCGACCGATAGCTGCTACCTTGACGTAGTGGTCAGGCTTGCATGCCGCAATGACCCGATGAGCTATGCTGGTGGAACACTTGTTCTCTCGCGGTCCTACCATACCAGAAAGGTCTGTTGAATAGTGGTAAGACAAAAAGCATTACCGTTGTAGCGTAAATTACTACACTATATGGGGGTCTGAGGGTGATGTCCTACTGCTACTAGTTGGATGGAGTGAGGCAGCAGTAAGGTGTTTCTCTTGGATGGTCAGCAGTGCCATGCTGACGCTGCCTTCTCAGTGGAAGAGGGGTTAGGAAAGGTTGACCCCCAAAATAACACTACACATACCCCACGGTCTGCCGGGTAGGCGGTGTTGGTTCATTTGTCGTTTCTTTCCGACCATCCGGCTCCAAAACAACGACAGTTCGAAACAACCATACAAAATCTCCCTTCACATCTTTTAATTAACGATATTACATCATCTTCAATTTCTGCTAGCTCTGCAGCGTTCGACAAAGATCTGAATCCACAGAACAACATCCCTGGTCTGCTTAAACTACGCTCCAAGTTACACATCGGGGCCTTCAATGTCCGCACCCTCCGTCAAATTGGTCAACATGCTTCATTGGCCAAGATTCTAGCCATGGATATGTGCTGTGTTTATGAGACTCCCATACAGGACCCAAGTGCAGTTATTCACCTAACCTCTCTCAGCCAATATGTGAGTCCGCGAAATTCACCCTTCGAGTTTCTGGAGGTTCGATGGCCAACTCTCGTAGTCTTGCAGGTGTAGGCATAGGATTGAACACTAGGGCAGAAAGCTCGCTACTAGACTGGATCCCAGTTGATAGTCGCCTGTGCACTGTCCGACTGAACGGCTCAGTGAGAACTAAAAAGACTGGTGAAACTCGCTGTTGTCTCTTGGTAGTTTCTGCTTATGCACCCACTGACTGTAGTTCGGATGAAGTGAAAGACGAGTTCTACCGAAAGCTGTCTAGCCTCCTTTCGAAAGCCGAACGTTCAGACATGGTTGTTGTTGCAGGAGATTTCAATGCGCAAATGGGTAGACTGAGTGAGACAGAAAGGCACTTAGATGACACTTTCGGAATCCCGGCTGAACTAACAGGTAACGATAATCGCCTACTACAACTGTGCTCACATAACCGCTTATTTTTATTTAGTATAATTTCAGACACAGAGAAAAACGTCTGATATAGCATCCACCGAGCCTCAACCCAGCGATGGACACAGATAGAACATATTGCCATTAGTCATCGCTGGAGAGGATCGGTGGAAGACTACCGCTCCTTCTAGAGTACGTATTTGAGCAGCAATCACGCGTTGGTTGAGAAAAAGTTTACACAACGACCGCGAACGGCAGCGAAGGCTAAAGAAATGGAAAAGGCAGCGGTGATTGGTAACAGTAGACAGTTATTTAGACTTATTGAGGAAACTGGGGGGAAAAGGTCAACAACAGATAGTGAGACTATAGCAGAGAAGGACGGGTCTGTGATTCACTCTCAGGGAGACGACTAGAACGATGCGCAGAACACTTCGAGAAACAGTTTAACTGGCCTCCAGCCACCATTGCATTGCCCGCCATAAAGTCGGATCCTGAATGGAACATTGAGATAGGCCCCCAACACTTGGAGAAGTCGAGAAAGCTGTAGATAACTTGAAAGGAGGAAGGGAGACACGTTCAGAGGTATACAAGGATGGTGGTAAGGTGCTCTTAGGTTAACGGAAGTGTTGACTAGTATATGGGAATCAAATACGATCCCCTCTGACTGATCTAAATCACTGATTATTCCAGTCTTCGAGAAAGGCGAGAAGTCCTCTTGTGTCCAAGATTCTAGGTTCTGTAATTCTTCGACGCCTGAGTGGGGCTCGGGAACAGCAAGCCCGATAAAACCAGGCAGGCGGACAAGCTTTAGACCCGGCCGCGGGTGCATCGACCAAATATCCACACTGTGTCAGGTTTCGGAACACAGACATGCTTACCGACGCCCGACAATAGCTGTATTTCTTGACCTGAAGGCGGCATTCGACTCCTTTGATCGAGAAGTCTTATGGCAATGTCTCTCACCGAAAGGCGTGTCGAGTAAGTACATCACGTTATTGAAAGCTCTCTACTCGAACAATTGTGGGGGTGTTAGAGCCTATGGTGGGATGTCCGAGGAGCTGTGGTCGTTGAGTGGTGTCCATCAAGGGTGCCCACTATCTCCATTCTTATTCAATTTTATCATAGATATTCTTATGGAGGTCTCACTCTCGTCACCTGACTACACAGAGGTTGACCTAATCGGTGGAGATTTTCGTTAGACCTAGAATATGCAGATGACATAGTGCTGTTACGTGAAGACGCTGACAAGATGCAGAGTCTTCTGAACACTTTGAGTGGGAATTTGAGAATGTTTGGAATGCGTTTTTCACCACCCAAATGCAAATTTTGCTCCAGCACTGGTCTTCAGCGGTACCGCGGTTAACAACAGAGAGTGAAGTGTTTGAGTGTGTTGACCACTTCACTTACCTGAGAAGTAGGATCAACCCTGGTGGGTCAGTGGCCAGCGAAATCTGCGCACTGATACAAAAGGTTTGGCTGGCCGGATTTCGCCAACTTCCGCCGTCGTGATATCCGATTGTCCATTAAGAGTCGCATGTATTGCACAACAGTCCGGTCTGTTCTACTGTATGGCTGTGAAAAATGACCATTGACGGTGAAATACATCAGAAGGCTTCGGGTGTTTGACCGCCGCTGCCCTCGTAGTATAAGCCGTGTAGAGTTTTAAGAAGAAGAGGTAAGTCGGTTGACGAGGTTATGAACCTTCATTGACTGAGATGATTGGGACACGTACTACGTATGCCTAGTCACCGATTGCCTCGTCACACAATATTGGCCGAAGTAGGTGTAGGCTGGCGAAAGGCCCGAAGCGATCAGACTAAAACATGACATGAATGTATGAAGTGTTTGACTGTTGGTTTGAGCCATGTGGGGCGATGGAGACTAGGTGGTTGGGGTCCGCGGGACAAGAGGAACCAGTGGTTAGAGACTCTAGATGATATGGCTCGGAACCGATGTTAGTGGCGCAGATGTATACACACATTATCCTAATTTTAATGTTATGCCGAATCTCACCATTTTATCATTCCTCCCTTCTCTCTTTTCGTACTTTATATTTCTCTTGACTGAATTTTCTTGTTTCGTCTTTCACTTCACTACCTTTTTACTTGATATACTGATATGAACTGTGGCAACTCGGACCTTTACGCAGTAATGCCTGGTCTTATGTTGATGGATGATGATGATGACATTTTTGATAAAAGCTTTGCCAAATATCGATTTCTTCTTGGTGGTTTGCAAACATCGTTGAGCTCCCAATCGAAATTATTATCCAAAGAAATAATTTTAACCTATCAATTTTCCATTTGTTTGTTTTAAAAGAATGGGAATTGAACGGCGAGTAGTGTCTAGTTTTGACTTGACATAACGTTAGATACGCCTGACCTCACATGTATTCGTCTGCTCCCCATAGTTCATTTGGTTGACCTGGAGTACGCAGGCGATATTGTCTTGTTGGATGAAGACCCTGGCGAAATGCAGGGTTTTGTGGGCGCATTGAACAGAAATCTGAGTATGCTTGGCATGTGTTGTGTTCTCACCTGCCAAATGTAAGATAGCCTCCAAAACTGGTCTGCTGCAAACACTCCTAGTTTAATGATAGGGAGTGAAATGGTGGAATGTGTTGACCACTTCAGCCACATCAGCCCAAACAGGCTGGTTGCTGATAAAATCTCATTTCGATTACAGAAGACCTGTTTAGCACTTTCCGACTTGCGTCATCTGTGGCGCCGGTTGACGAGATATCCGACTACTTATTAAACGACGAATACACTACGCTGTAGTTCGTTCCATCCTGTTAAATGATTATGAGACAGCCGTTAGTAGTCGAGGATATGAAAAAACTACAGGTTTTTGACCACAGGTGTCTTCATAGCGTTGCTTGCTTATGGTTGAATCACCACTTGAAGAATGTTGAGGTCAGGTGAAGGGCACTAAGCAAGAAAGGCAGGTGATTGATGAGGTTGTGAACCTTAGTTGACTGAGATGGCTTGGACCTGTACTGCACATGCTGAGCCGCCACCTACCTCGACATGCGGTGCTAGGAGAAGTCAGAATCGATTGGAAGAGGGTTCAGAGTGGCCAGACCAAGACTTTGCACCAGCCGATGGAGTCCCTGACTGTTAGTCTGACTAACTGGCTAGGGACTCAGGCGAAAGCAATCAGTGGTTAGGGACTCTTGGTGACATTGCTGAAAATCGGTCACACTGGCACAGATATGTTCTAAGGCTTGAATTTCTTGCTAATCCTTATTTTTATATTCCCTCTCCTCCCATACACCTGTTTACCCTGATATCGGTCTTTTTTCTACTCGTGCTTTGCATGTTGCTGTGGGTGTGGCAACTTGATTTGGTTCATTTTGTTCGGGGTTCTGCGTTGATTTTGTCTCTTTTTGTAGACCATTCTTTGAAGAAAGTTTTGCAAATCATCATAAGTTTAGCATTATAGTACACCCATAATCACTATTTAACTGTCGAAAAGTTTTTATTCCGTAGAATTGCTTAGAGTAATTTAACGTTAAGTTTCATGGAGTTTTTGTTTACCCTTATTCACTAAGTTAACCTTCAATATTTTTCTCCGTTTTTAGGAATCGGATATTCATTTACGACGCACAGCTGTTTCGGCTACATGTCGGATGCCTTCAGAATCTGGTGCATCAGCGACTGGTGGGGGTGGTCGTCCAGTCAACACTGGAGCCCTCAGTAACATCCCACCTATATTCTATTTAATCTTGGCTTTACTCATTGGTTTATTTTTGGGTCGATTCGTCCTGTAAATGATCTGCAGACTTGTTATTGTTATTATGATTATTATCATCACGTTTATGCTGATAAAAATGATCACAATTAATTAATTGAATAGAATGGTTTTTCAATCCTTATTCCTCTCCAGACATCTTTCTTTTTTGTTGTCCCCTATCTTTTAATCATACACATGTGTATTGAAAGAAGAAAAAGAGGTGATCGATCAACTATCCTACTTATTATAGTTAGTTGTGCTTTTTCGTTTTGCACAGTTTATTTTTCACTCAGCTTTTAATGTATGTGCAAAGCCTATTGTGTTCTGCTAAGAAATCTTAATCAGAATTTCACAGTTGTAATCGATGGAACCACTGTCATCTCTGGAGCACGTGTAAAATACTTATGGTGTAGTGTAGAAAGAGTAAGAGGGCGAGAGAAAAAGAAACGCTTTGTTTCTGTACGTATAGATGATCACTTCATTTCCTCTGTGTTTGTGGGTGTTTCCCTTCTCTTCACTTCACTGTACTTTCCCTTTTGGTTTCATAATGGAATAAAACACATCACACTCATCATTATTTTTAAACATTACACGTATATAAACCAATAGAGAGAGATGATGTCACAAACCTTTGTCCATATGGTGAATTTTGTCGTTTTCTTGTGATCTGTGTGTGTGCGCGCATGTCTTATTTTATTTTTCCAACTGATTAATTAATTAATTATATTTAAAGTGTAAGAAATAACCTTCAGATTGGTTTTCACTCTGCTCCCATCTCTGTCTCCCTCAGTGAATATTTGGATCACTTTCATGGAGAGTGTGTTTTCCTTTCTCTCTTTTCTTTTTTCCATGGAATACGGGGTTTGGGAGGATTCATGCAAGAAGACTGGAATGTTTGGTAGTGCATTTGGATAAGCTACATGTTCTCTCATCTCAAGTGTTTTCACTATTTACTTGTTCGACTTAATGGATTGATAATGTGTATAAGTGTATGTGCGTTACTACTATATTTTTCAGAAAAAAATATACAAAAAATGACAAAAATCGCCTGCCGAACGACGGCTATCTCGGCTAGCCTCATTAGTTGTCATTACGATGGTCCCGCTCTCGACAATTCAGCTCAGTTTTGATTAAGTGAGCAGTGTGATTATGATGACGTATCATGACTTCACATGGTAGCTGGGTAAAACTCGTCGGTGACTGCAGTGAATATCTGGTCAGCAACTAGGTTCTCTTAGCTCATTTGGTAGAGCACTGGACCGGAGACTGCTTATTGTTTTCAGCCATACTTTCTTGTTTGTAAGTAATTTAGTGTGTTATGCTCTCCAGGCAACTATTACCTGGAATTACATATTGATAGCTTCAATAGAATTCGATTCTGAGTCATTCGGTCTCATCAGAGATTCTATATTAAAATTAGTGTGATTGAAACCAATCTGGGTATTAAAATATTTGCCCTATGTAGTAATTTTACCATTGGCTTTTCGTGTAGATTCGAAAATATGGTCTGCGGTCCATCTGTGTACACTAAGCTTTCTCAAATTATCGTGATAAAGGGATTCATTTCGCAACGTATGTATTCACTTAGTGTGATAACTGCTTGTCAGTACCTACAACAAATACCTATGTATCCTGGGCCTGAATAATCTAAGCCTATGAGAATTCTGAAACTAATGTTCCGTAAACAAAAGTGTTTCTTCGCAAACTAGTTGACGCTGAAGTGTAAATGACCGGTTTGAATTAATTCTACCACACCATATTAAGTCATAAAATAAAAGCAATATACAATTGCACGATGTTTTAGTACTGTCATAGATTGTTAGTCGTATGGATTTAATGAGATTATGAACTTTCAGCATTTGAGGTGGCTTGGGCATGTAATACACGTGAAGAGCGACCCCCACCTACCTCTTGGTGCCATGTTAGGGAAAGTTGGATTAGGTTGGAAGATAGTCCAGGGTAGCCAGACTATGATTTGACACTAGCCAACGGAGTTTCTGACTGTGGTGATATGGCTGAAAATCGATCACAGTGGTGAAGATGTATTCACTCTTTAACATCTAAGGCTTGAATACTTGCACTAGCCGTTATCTTCAAATTGTTTATTCTCTCACAACTTAGTCTACTTCGATATCACTCTCTCTATCCATCGGTTCTTTGTGAAGTGTAGCAACTTGAGTTGATGTACTTGTGTGCGACAACCTATGTTGATTATATCTGTCTGTCGTATAGCTCAAGAAACACTTTCCTTCTTATCCCAGACTCACTATTGCAGTATCCATCTATCAACGTTGTATTTCGAAAACGTCACTCTAAAGTTTGATAACAGCATGATTCGAACCGACAGACAATACTTGTATAACGTCGTACTACTTTCTGTTTCACTTATCTCATAGTCATTAGGTATTAGACACTTTATTAGTGATAAGTCGATTGTGTTTTTATATCGTTTAGAAATTCGCTAAAATTTATAGTCTTCCGATGGCACACAAAGGATTCAATGGTATTACCAAGGAATGTTTAAAAACCCCCATAAATTGATGTTTGTGTTATGTTTACCTTTGTGTCGATAAGTTGTAGAGTTGTTTGCTGTAACCACTTCCCCAAGGTTAGGGCACCCTAGTTCTGAAATACCATCGATTGATTATCACTATCGAAACTATTGACTTTTGAAAATAAGGTTTATCCGAAAAATATGTGGTCCAAAGGTCGTTTTATTGCGTACGGCGACTGTCAAGATTCTTTTCCTTTCAGTCGGTTTTTGTGTTCCAGTATAAAATTACGTGAAAGTATGATTTAGTCTTCTATTGTGAGTTAGTACTATTCATATGACCTGGGCTTAAGTGATTTCATGGATGGATTTCTATATATATGTTTTACCTATTCATTAGAAATTTTCATAATCTGCCTAAATCATTATGGTCCCTGCATACATGTTAAACATAGAGATGATTTGTCAACTCTCGAGGTAGTATAATTTTGGCGACTACATTGAGAGATGTTCTGCTGCTGTTCAGACCTGATTTTCAGTGCTTTACAGTTAATTGAATGCAGAGACTATAGTGAGTTTCCAGATGGTTATTTTAAACATCTGCATATTGTTATAGAGACAGATAGGGGTAACCTATTTTTGTGCTGGTTTCGAAAATCACTAACTTCTGACTTTTCTGTACGACTTATGGGGTTGTACCACATTGGTTTAGGGAGTTGACTCTGAATCAGTGGGTTTGAACATCACTCCACCTACCGAAGTTTCCACAACTGAGTAGTATTATCAGCCTTCACACAATGGGTGTGTCTTGTTGCCTACTGCACGAATATGCACAAAGTTGCACAGCTTTGCGAAGTGAGTTTTGAGGACTATTATGGTGATTGGAAACATTTATTTTCCATGCAAATTTCAAACAATCAGTGAATGTGAGGAAAGAAGAGTTTAGTGCAGTGATTAGTTTCAGTAGAATTCGTCATCTGGATACTCCACATACTTGGTTATATGTTCCATTAGGCAATGTAGGAGAACAGACATGCTACGTCTTCTGGGATATCGATTACGTTGTAATATCATGGAAGTGAACAACTTAAACCGATCATGTGGTCATACAAAAAAATGGTTGGCGCTCAAATTGAATAAGTTGAGAATAAATCACGTCATTCTGAATAAGGTAGATAGTACACCAAATAAGAATATGGATAGTAGTGCAGGATTAACAATCGTCTGTATTTTGGGTGAGAAAATAATCATAAATAATGACGATATTGGGGTGAAAACTGAATTGGTTGAGGATAGATTACTTCTTTCTGAAGTTTGTGCAGATGATGTTGTCTAGACTGATGATGAAAGCTTCAAACCATCCAGCTCAGAGAGTAGCAATGGTAATGGAGATAAGGTCAACTAAACGAAACAAACAAAGAGCGGTGAAAGCGAAAATTTTAAGATAGGCGTCACAATTGAAGGCCAAGAGCGCGTAAGGAAGAGTGAGAATGATTAGATGATATTGTCAATACTACTACGATAGATTCTAGTTAACCATCATTTCCTTCTGAACGCAGGGGTTTATTTCGACAACTGAATCAAGCTAACTTTTTGACTCTGGTAAAGAGATAGGTGTCATCCTTATAAACAAGAAAGATCACGTCGAAAAGATGCAAAATATACTCTTCAGTAATATAATTGTAAAACTTGGGCACTGTGGTAGAATGTAATTCCATATTAGACTTGTTTATTTGATATATATAGCGCACAGTGATACAGTATTATTTACTTGATTACGTTTCGAGCATAAATTATTTCTCATAATCATATCAATGTAATGATATGAGCAATAATTTATGCTCGAAACGTAATCAAGTAAATAATACTGTATCACTGTGCGCTATATATCAAATAAACAAATCTAATATGGAATACTCTTCAGTAAATCGAAATTTAAGTCGGACAAAAATATCAAGTATCATGCATCGAAATGCAAATGATACAACAACGAAAACAGCTCAAATCTAGGTCCATTGATGAATGCACATTTAAAAGCATTGAACCAATTGGATCATAGATCCTAAAGTAGTATGGGAATATTAAAGTGTACAGGGTACGCATGCATCTAAGATCTATCTTAACACCTTATCATAGATAAGCTCAGTAGTTATGTTGGAATTTTCGAACTAATACGCCAACTTCCGGAAAATATACCGTACAATTTGTTCGAACACATCACTAATCTAAATGGTATTAGTAAGCATCTTGTCTCATTTGATATCGTATCTCTGTTCAAAAATGTATCAATAGGTGTAGCCATTGACTTCGTATACACAGAAGTTGATAGTATTTCTGTGCTAACGAACGAGCTGAGGAAGCTTCAATTCTCCGTACCACAAACCACCAGTTCTGTGGAAAGTTATTTCATCAAACCAGTGGTGAACCCTTCTGACATCCCATTTTGTTGATTTATTTTTCTCAAGTTGGCAACTAGTAGCTGGAAGTGCTTCTAAAGCAGACGTAGCTGTACTCTGGGTGCACTAGTGACATCTTAATTGAATGTA